AAAGCAGCCAAATGACACAACTTTTGATACAAGCAAAAATCGTTTAATTAATGACGTCACCTTAAGCTGTCTAGCTGGAGGATACCCAACTCCAACATACAGTTGGTACCGTGAAGTTTACGTGAATGATACCCTGGAGTATAAGAGAATAGATCCCATTAAAGATGATCGTTATACTGTTTCCGGTGGAAATTTGATTATATACGACCCTAAGCAAGCTCTAGACCAAGGTGCATATCACTGTGTGGCAGAGAATAAATTTGGTCGTGTTCGATCTGAAAGTGCACATCTCAATTTTGGTTTCATAATGGAATTTAACTTAAAACGTTCCGCTGAAACGGGAGACATGAACTGGGGCAAATCTATTTTCTGCGATCCTCCTCAGCATTATCCGGAAGTTAAATACTATTGGTCTCGCGACAAATTTCCGAATTTCGTGGATGAAGATCATCGTGTTTTTGTTTCTAATGATGGCGCCTTATATTTCTCATATATAGAGATTGTAGATAGGGCCAATTATTCATGTACAGTTCAAACCGTTGTTTCAGATACTGGAAGAAATGGACCTTTCTTCCCACTACGTGTTAAACCGAATAGTAATTATCAGGAATTGATCTTTGCTAATTCGTTTCCAAAGGTGAGTATTATATAGCTTACGCATGTAGTGTTTATAATTATATCTTAGTAATAAAATATTTGTAAGATGCTTTGTGCTAAATTCTAAGAGCTGTATGTGTTTTCTGGTAGCTCTATTAGAGATTTCAAAACCACCAAATATGCTTTAAACTACCGCGAAACGCATCATAAAAGATTTGTTAAAAACGATGTTTTCAGATAGAAGGAACAATTTTTAGACGTGCTTGCTTGTATATTTAATACGATATATTTTTTCTTTTTAGGTATTTCCAGAAGCCCCAATTGCTGGCGATGAAATTCGTTTGGAATGTATGGCATTCGGTTATCCAATACCATCCTATAATTGGACAAGGCGGGGCCAACCTTTGCAGCGAAATGCCTATGCAACGAACTATAACCGAGTACTAGTTATCCAAAACGCTACGACAAATGACAATGGTGAATACACTTGTACCATTGCAAATCCACGCAAATCATTGGAGAAATCCGTGTTCATTAATATTCAGATGAAGCCGCAATTTTCGATACCCTTAAAAGACAAAGTGAAAGACTATAATAGTGATGTCACCTTTATCTGTGAGGCATTTGCTATACCTGATGTGAATTACACTTGGTATAAGAATGCAGAGTACTTGGATCCCGAAAAGATTGATAAAGATCGATATGTCATACAAGATAATCTGTTAACCATAAAATACCTTGAGCCAGATCGTGATGATGGCATGTACCAATGCGGCGCTGCTAATCAGCTTAAAACCGCATATTCTTCTGCACAGTTGCGAGTTCTTACAATGAAGCCGTCATTCAAGAAAAGGCCTTTGGAGTCAGAAATTTACGCTGTTTATAACGGTAACACGACGATTGAATGTGATCCAGAGGCAGCACCACGTCCTAAAATACAATGGAAAAAAGACGAACAGCTTATTGGGGCAGGAGGACACCGTCGAATTCTTCCCAGCGGAACGTTAATAATCTCGCCAACATCAAGAGACGACGAAGGTGTTTATAGCTGTGTAGCCTCAAATCTAGCAGGATCTGATGAGTCGCGTGCGCGACTTATTGTTTTGCGTAAGTTGAATTATTTTGAATACTAAAGTCTATAATGCCGATTTTATTTCCCTTCGATATATAGAAGAGCTGCGTTTCATCCAAACTCCGCCACCAAGGATTACCACACAAGTGCAGGATTTGATTTATATACAATGTGAGGCTAGCTACGATGAGCTTTTGGACGTGGCTTACGTTTGGAAACACAATGGAGAAATTCTTCGCAACAACCACGATGGCACAGAACGAATTGTGAGTATTAGTTCAGCGTGTCTTAGATTCGACATGTTCAATTAACATTTTACTTGTTCTTTTTTGAAGATAATCGACTACAATCGTTTGACTGTGCACAATGTTACTATGTTGGATGGTGGCGATTATGAATGCGTAGTGAAATCGTCCGTAAATGAAATTAGTGCCAAGACACATGTTGTTATCGAAGGCGCACCCAGTGCTCCGGGCGGAGTACAAGTTATTGATATTGCAAAGACAAAAGCACTCATAGAATGGGTGGATGGTGGTAACAATGGACGTCCAATCCGCTATTATAATATTTTGGGACGTACGAATTGGAATCGGACGTGGGTAAATGTATCAACACATGTGCAGGCGCGTGAAGTTGATCGCTATACTAACAGACAACAAGCTGAAGTTACAAATTTGACTCCTTGGTCATCGTATGAATTTAGTGTAGCAGCGGTAAATGATCTAGGTATCGGCATACCTTCAGCACCATCTCCTATATACAGTACCCATGAGGATAAGCCTTACATAGCTCCACGCAATGTTGGTGGTGGTGGCGGAAAAATTGGCGACCTCACAATAACCTGGGACCCTCTGCTTCCCGAAGAACAGCATAGTCGTGGTATACATTACAAAGTATTTTGGCGCCTAAAAGGAAAATATGAATGGGCTTCTGAGATTATTGACCGTCACGATCACATAGGCATGGCAGTTGTTAACATTCCTCTGAATAATTATTATACAGAGTATGAGGTAAAAGTTCAAGCTATTAACGACGTTGGCAAAGGCCCAGAAAGCGAACCGGTTACAATATACTCTGCTGAAGATATGCCACAAGTTGCACCACAAAAGCCGATAGCAATAGCATTCAATTCGACGGCATTCAATGTAACATGGCAACCAATTGACATGACTCGTGAAAATATTAGAGGAAAGCTTATAGGACACAGGGTATTTTACAAAAGTAACTTAATTATTCTTTGCATACAATAATGTATATAATTCTTAGATCAAATATTGGAAAACCACTCATCAAGAAGAGGATGCCGTTTACTATCTATCACGCACAATAAGAAATTGGGCGTTAATAGTTGGTTTACAGCCCGATACGTACTACTTTGTGAAAGTAATGGCCTATAATGCTGCTGGTGAGGGTCCCGAGAGCGAGAGATTCGAAGGTATTATATTTGTTGGTCATTATCAAAGAGAGTTAAAACTTTATATACATTTTATATTTTCTTCTTGAAAGAGCGTACATATAGAAAAGCACCACAGAAACCACCATCATCGGTTCACGTATACGGCATCAATCCGTCCATGGTACGAGTGGTATGGCGTTACGTGTCGCCTGCGCAAGATGAAGAACCTATTGAAGGCTTCAAGGTCCGTGTATGGGAAAGCGATCAAAATATGATAACAGCAAACGATACGATTATACCAGTTGGTCAAAAACTTGAGGCATATATTAACAATTTGACGCCAGGAAAAAGTTATAACATGCGTGTTTTAGCATACAGCAATGGCGGTGACGGCCGCATGTCTAGTCCAACATTGCGTTTCCAAATGGGTATGTCTAAATATACTTATAAAAAACATTAAATACATAATGTGTTCTTTTTCATATTTTAGGAAAAACGACGCGAAATCATGCCAACCGGCGCTACAATTTCAATTTGAATACTTTATTGATTGTAACATTTTTAACATTTATATCCACATCTATTTTTAACAATTGATTCTAAATTTTAACATATTTCCGTCCAAGATTTTAACGCACATTCCATTTAGTATTAACTATTGTTAATCGAATATTATGCGAAAATTCCGTCCAAATGTTATGTAACAAATTTGTAGTATAAGTCTATCTATATCAGTCTCGAATGCAATTTAATTATTTTATTGCAGAAAATTAGTTATATTTCCCATATATACAAATTTCTATTACACTTCACTCTTAAAGTGCCCTTACTAAGTTATTAAGAAACTTAGCATACTAGTACATACATATGTCCACAAACTTATACATACACTTTTACATACACCTACTAACAATATGTATTTTTATAGTGTAGTTAGTAGGAGTATGGTTTTGTTTTACATTAAATGTTTCATTTAAATTAAATGACCTTGTTTTATTTGGTTTATATATATATATATATATATATAAATATATATATATATATATATATATATATATATATATATATATATATATATATATATATATATATATATATATATATACTTGAGCTCATAAAATTTAGAAAAAAATTTTAGTGCAGCTATATGAATTTCCGTTAACGTTAACTAACGTTTTAGGCGTTCTCTCTATGTTGGCCTTTATTTTCAATATACTATTTCTACGATACTTGATTTGGTCTCTATTCGTTGTTTGACCCCTATATACCCTGAACCTATGTGATCCGCATTCTTATCTTCCTCGCAAGGTCCATATTTTCAAGCTAATCAAATGAAATCATGTCGCATACTGCACTATATCTTTTCAATTGCCGGCCAAACTTACTGCTGAAGATTTATGACTGCAGTTTCATTTTTCTAGTTTCTTTGAAGTTGATCAACTTTTCTTATTGAACCCTGGAAGCAAGGTAGATTTACCCATGGTACAAGAAAAAGGTAAGGTAGAGCTCCCAGCTGATTACAATTTTTTTCTAAGTGTGCCCGACTTCTGCCATTTTTGTGTATGTATTTGTTGTTTTAAAAAATAAAAACATAATATTTTCAAAATCAATGATTGGAAGAAACTTAAATTGCGGGCGCACATTAATGATTCATTCATCTTTCGCGCTAATTGACTCATTTTAGAAATTAACACAAATATCAAATAAATAAAAACAACTTAAATTTTGATTAATACTGCCAGGAAGCGGGCATAGCCTCAGGGCTGTATTTCTATAGTTCTACGAAGCTGTTCTACTCCTTATTATACCATGGATTTACCTTGAATGGAATGCTTTTTTCGACGCACCTTATTTCGTGGCAACACCATTTGTTAAAATGAGTACTGCAATGGCGATTGTAGTAATAGTAAATAATTGATCCATTTTGGGAAATAATTTAACTAAATATTTCGATTTATTTATCTAGTGACCCACAAAATAGATTTTCTCAACATTAAGTGTTGAATTGTTGATATAAAAAATAAGCAAAAATATATCATATTTGTATCAATTTAAATATAGCAACAAATTATTTCCAAATATTTTGCCCTTTTATTGATTGCTCCTTAAATCCCCGTACGATTACTTCAGACTCCCACCATCCGACATCTTGATTGAAAAAATTGGATTTTTTGCCCCCATAAAAGCCAGACGGAGATGTACTATTTTTTAAGTAAGGACTTATGTTATCTTCAAATATGTGCAGATCCTTACAACATTTAAATATCATATTTTCCGATTCTGGTTTACGTTTATGAATTAAATTTATTTGAATGTCCTTGCAACTTGATGGTATTGCAGAAAACTCCTTGGGGTACATATTCGACTTCGAATCTTGCGATGATCGAGTTGAAGTCATTGGGTTGTCAAATAATTCAAATTCCAAGTAGACGTTTGTTGGACTTAGATTTTGAGAGAATATGGAATAAAGTGATTCATTCGTTAACAAAGATCTGTAACAAAATTTTTCGTCAATGTAATAAAAAAAATAATAATAATGAAATAAAAGCACTTACATTAACGTTTCGTTCAGTTTTTGGGCTTCTATTCGATGCTGCTCCCAATCGTGATTTGTTAGCACATTTTCTATGGGTATATGAATCGTGTAAGATTCTTTCGGTGTAAATGGTGTACCGCCAAACAAAAACCTTAAAGACTTTACCGCTGTCCGTCTAAACGTATCATTTATTGCCTATGAGAGAGGAGTACTTGTGAGTAAAACAATCTTCCTTTTGTTATTTAATACAATACCTCACGCATTGCACTTATAGAGTCTTTTGTAGATTTAGCTAGATTTCGTTGTCTTTGGACTTGAAAATTCTTCACATTATCCAATTGCTCCATATCCTCTTGTTGTTCGTCGTCATCATTCCATTTGTTCACATAATATCTGTACGTTTTGTACACGAATGGTATTTGATTCCGTTGGTACAGCAGCGATTCTAAAACCGAGTTTATAACTTCAGCAATCGTTCCGGCCGTAAGAATATCAACTTCCAAAAACAAATTTAGTTCGACGCGGGAAGACATTTTCGAGGGATTTAAACATTAAATATCGTTTGTATGTATGTGATTACTCCGACATGGCGCGTGGGAAACCAAAATGAAAGACGTACCCTCTGTTATTTACGAATGAGTGTAATGCAAAACCCGAGCGACCTCTGTTGTTTACGAATGAGACATGAGGAAAACGCAATCAGCTGAAGAATTCATTGGATGGCGGCGGTATATCATGTGTATGCGGCGGCGTGCTATGCATGGTTGCTGCAGCCATGGTACAATGAATTCAAGGTAGGGCAGAACTACCATATGATTTAAATTTTTTTATTTTTCTGGCTTAATATGTCAACTTTATTTGCTTATGTGTGTGTCTTCTTTTCAATAATAAAAAATTGTTCAGAAAATATTCAAATTCGGGTGTTTTCAAAATGCTTATTGCAACGAATACATCGACAAAATCTACAGTTTTTGTCGCGAAATAAACCATAAGAGATATATAGAACATGATATTGAAAAGAAATTTTGACCATTCATTCAGTTTTCGCGGTTTTAAATTATTTATTCAAAATCAATTCAGAAAGATGTTTGCTTTTTTATTGTTTTGATAGTAATTCTGACATTACAAGCCAAACAGGTAGACCTCTATACTTGCAATTTTTTCAAAGTCGACCTACCTTCTCTTCATTGTACCATGGCTGCAGCTAATATTTTTTTGAACTTCTTACGTTGTCAAGTATGTTGGTGGAACACGATGTGTTCATTCATTCAAAGCATGGCAGAATAATACAGGTAGATGCATCAACGCGTGACATATCAATGTCAAAAAAATTGAAATGTTTTTTAAAATATAAGTAGATTTTTATATGTTTTCTTATTCTAAGTTAGAAGGAGGCTATTATAATTCGCGTTTTTCAAAAATTTCAAAATTGGTTTGGCAGTTCATTGTCCCAGCAGCTGTGTCGACGCGACTACCTATATTCTTCTACCATGATTCAAACAAACGAGTACCCATGGTAGAAGAATAAAGGTAGCATGGTACCATGGTACAATGATATCAAGGTAGGGCTATGATACCATATGATTTCAATTTTTTTATTTTCTTGGCTTAATATGTCATCTTTATTTGTTTATGTATGAGTTTTCTTTTCAATAACAAAAAAAAAATGTTCAGAAAACATTCAAATTCGGATGTTTTCAAAATGTTTATTTCATAGTATGCATCGACAAAATCTAGAGTTTTTGTAGCGAAATAATCCTTTAGAGATATATAGAACCTGGTTTTGAAAAGGTGTGTTGACCTTTCATTCAATTTTCGCGGTTTTCAATTATTAACTCAAATTAAATGCAACAAGTTGTTTGATTTTGTTATTGTTTTGATGCTAATTCTGACATTACAAGCCAAACAGGTAGACCTCTATACTTGCAATTTTTCAAAGTTGCCCTACCTTCTCTTCATTGTACCATGCATGGTACAATGAATTCAAGGTAGGGCAGAACTACCATATGAATTAAATTTTTTTATTTTTCTGGCTTAATATGTCAACTTCATTTGCTTATGTGTGTGTCTTCTTTTCAAAAATAAAAAATTGTTCAGATAATCTTCAAATTCGGGTGTTTTCAAAATGCTTATGCATCGACAAAATCTACAGTTTTTGTCGCGAAATAAACCATAAGAGATATATAGAACATGATATTGAAAAGAAATGTTGACCATTCATTCAGTTTTCGCGCTTTTAAATTATTTATTCAAAATCAATGCAACAAGTTGTTTGCTTTTTTATTGTTTTGATAGTAATTCTGACATTACAAGCCAAACAGATAGACCTTTAAGGGCTAAGTACATAAGAAGCTTGAAGTCATGGCTAGGCATATTAATGTCATATTATAATGGAAAACGACGGCTGGATTTTAGTGCGGCTCTGTAATCCCCTTGTGAAATGTCACAAAAAATGCCTAGCCATGACTTCAAGCTTCTTATGTACTTAGCCCTTTATACTTGCAATTTTTTCAAAGTTGGCTTACCTTCTCTTCATTGTACCATGGGTAGATTTTGTAAAATGTTTTATGAAAAATAGGTGGATTTTTAAATGTTTTTTATACGACGCAAATCAGAGGTTATTATAAAATGCATTTTCAACAATTTTTACAAATTTTAATAATTTTTCATTTAACATTTTCAATTCCAAAATCGGTTTGACAGTTCAATGTCCCAGCAGCTGTGTCGAAGCGACTACCTGTAACGGAACGGAACGATTTCCAGCACAGAGTTGCATTTTTCTTGCTTCTTTGAAGCTGAGTAACCTTTCTTATTGAGCCATGTTTACTACTAACAAATGCAATTAGTAGTTATCATGGCAGAAGAATACAGGTAGATGCATCAACGCTTGGGAGCATTGATATGTCAAAAAAATTAAATGTTTTTTTCAGATATAAGTAGATTTTTATATGTTTTCTTATAATACGTCATTCGGATGCTATTATAATTCGCGTTTTTCAACAATTTTTACAAATTTAAATAATTTTTCATTCAACATTTTCAATTCCAAAATTGTTCATTGTCCCAGCAGCTGTGTTGACGCGTCTACCTATATTATTCTACCATGGTAGTTATGTTATATTTTATTCAAAACAATGCGTACATATATGAATTATATTTATATTTTTGGCTTAACTCTAGTTTAGTAAAACTCTTAAATTTTTTCGAAATTTTTTTCCAGTGGTAGGTATTTTTACCCTGATCCCGGGAAACTATTTTTTTCTTGGGGGACGGACCCGGGACCACAGATTTTTGACCCCAAAGTGTTCAGGACCCCGACTAGACCCGTATACAATTACCCGATATATACAATATAGGTATCGTTAGTTTATGAAAATACCTATCCAACAAGTGGTCACATGATGGTTATGGTAAGTGGTCAAGATCCGGAAGTTATAGTCAAATTATAGATTTTTTGGACCCATATTTTTTATAAAACCCCCAAAAAGTCCAAAAAGGGCCCATTATGGGGGTCAACAAAATTGATGCCAAATTATATCTGACACTCTTACCTTTCCAAAATGCTACAATTTGTGCTAATACCTTTACTGAGTCCAGAGATATGGGTCTTTCCATCCGCATAAACCGATTCTAACCCCATCCAATGTAAAAAGGTAAAAAAATTACATTAAAAAGTAAAAAAACAGCTAAGTTCGGCCGTGTCGAACTTTTTATACCCTCCACCATTCGGAAGGAATTTGAAATATTTAAAAAAAAAACTCAGTCGAAAAATACCGCTTAAATAAAAACCTTTTTATGGGGGCCATACGAAGACGTGGTGCTGGATAATTAGTTTCCTGTCATAGGCTGTAGTACCGATTCCGAACTTCGAATACTTAATTTTAAACAATTCCGGTGAATAATGTCTTTAACATCAATAAAATACCGAATAAATTGGGGCTATACTATGACGTGGACCTACATATACAATTTTCCGTCATAGGTTGTAGTACCCATTACGAGCTTCAAATACGAAATTTGTCGCAATTCCGGTGTTGTTGCGAAAATCCTAGAAATATACTAAAACGTTGACCTATATAGACAATTCCATGGTAGAAATACCAGGTAACAACGTAGGCGAAAATTACAACAAAGCAACTTTTGTCGGAACTCGATATGTCGAAATTGCAAGCAAGGCGAATTTACTTGACATATAAAATTTGAGGCAAATTGTTTTGCAGCAATCAGAACATTTCATTTTGAAGCATTGAATTATTTTGTTGTGTTTTTATTTATATTTAAAAAATATATATTTTGCAAGAAAATTTTGTGAAAAGCTAACAAAAGTCAAAGACTCGAAATAAGACAAAAAACCAAGAAACAACCACCAAAATGAGGATAACTTACAAAGGCTGCTGCTCCAAACAATGAATTTTGCCGTGAATTTCTAAAAATGTAGATTCCTTCAACACATCAAATCCTCAAATTTTAAAGAAAATTACCGGCTCTTAAATCGTGGATATTTAAAGAAAATTCCGGGTCTCAGTCGTGGCTATATCTCGAAAGCATATTTGCGGATCTCAAATAGTGGATTTTATTGATTTATTTCAGACCTAAAAATTATTATTTTTGAAATGAGACCAATTTTTTATATTGAAGTCCTAAAGGAATCGTCCATCAATAAAAGTCCAAGTTTTAAGGAAAAAAGTTCAGTCGAAGCTTCGACAGAAATATATCGTCAGAATTTGACCACTTATTTAATTTACTTTATTTGAAGGACGTGTCATAATTGTTTATTTCGAAGTCCTAAAGGAATCGTCCATCAATAAAAGTCCAAGTTTTGAAGAAAAAAAGTTCAGTCGGAGCTTCAACAGAAATATATCCTCAGAATTTGGCCACTTATTTATCTTTACTTCATTTCAAGGACGTATCATAAAGATTAAATAATTTCAACTTTTCACTAAATCTAGTATTAATACTTTAAGAAGAGAACTGGGAATAATATCACATTTTATGAGAATAGTGATTATTAAATATTTTGTAGGATAGGTACCAGATCTATGTTCAAATATGATCTGATGAAGATATGATGAAAAATCATAGACTATTGCCTGGGTGATTCATTTACCTTTGAGGGAATAGAGAAGAAATCTAAGATTTGGTGAATAGTAGCAAATAGAAATATGTATGAACTAGATGTGTAAGTGAGAAAGGTATTGATCTTTGATTTTTCTACAAAGGTATTGGCCTTTGCTTGTACTCGCTTACAAACCATACAATAGCTCATATATGTTTTTTTTTAACTTTTTCCAACATTTTCAATTTTTATAATTGTTCCGGTTTCTTTCTCATTTAATGTATCTGTAGGCCGAATTCATATTACAACAATTTGTTTAACATATCAAGTTGCCTACAGCTGGCCTGATAGGGTTCCTTGTAATTCTACCATGGACAATTCTCTTCCAGGTGGTAAAGTACTTAGAGGGAAATCCTTTGTGGATTTTCAAACTATTACTATGCAAACGGAATGACGAACTTTATATACCCCCCATACTTTGTTTGGTGGAGGGTATAAAAATAACAACTCTCAACGTACCAGCCATCACTTTGCACAGCAAACGTTTGGAAGCGTTTTGTTCCTAAACGATAAAGTTCGCCAACCCACAGCCGAAGTGCATTAAGGTAATCGCATTGTTTGTGTATTTCTGATATTGAAATGTTAGTGGTTTTGTTTTGCTTGAAGTACAAAACTATTGAAAATTTTATAAAAGTTTGTTTCTCGCGAGAGCTGTACGTTAATTGTTTCGTTTGTTTTTGTTCGCTGTATACGATATCGTGGACCTGTATAGCCTATCTTCAAACTTGACCTGCATGCAGACAAAAGACTGATCTGCGCAAAATTTAAGCTTCCTATCTTTATTCGTTTTGACTCAAGCGTGATTACAACAGACGGGCAGATAGGGCTAAATCGTCTTCCTCCATACTATGTATGGTGGAGGGTATAAAAATGATAAATAGGTTGTAATAATGACTCCAAAAAGTTGTGCAGTAAATCACAATATTACATATTGACATTTTATTACTGTTTATGTATGTACATTTCATATGTGGACGCTCTGTTGCATTATCACAATATTTCCGATACAATTTGCAAAAGTGATTTGGGACATTCCTTAAATACTTCATCACATTTGTGTGTTAGACCAATTTTTGCAGCAGTAATATAATCCTTGCTCAAGTGATCAACTAAATCATCTTTGCTAGAAAAAGGTCTAGGGAGAAAAAAAGAAAGAAAAAAAAAAAACAAATTATTTAAAAATTGAACATATGTAATACGCATAGAATACTTACGAAAATATTATGTGAGCAATCTCATGCCAGAGATCACCACTATCATTATTAAAAGGTACCTGATTTGCTTCACATAGCGATTTCAAAACGCAGGTATGTCCATTGAGCCCAATACTAGAATGTATAACTGTTTCACTATACACTAATTAATTCGTATAGAAGTAGGAGTGTTACCTAGATGCCCATAATCCCATTGCATTATATAAATGCCATCGCATTTGTTTCAATAACGGAAGATCATTTAAATTATCTATTAGTCTGCCGTTTATATTGTGACTTGTATGATTTCTTAAGTCTTTTGGCTTAGTAGGCAACGGAAATTGTGATTTGAATACCATTCCGGATATAACTGAATCCGTGTCCGACTCGATGGGGATCCCAAAACCACATACAAACTGTGAAACCCCGAAATCTATTACAAATTACATATTAACATGGGACTTTTGTTGAAAATATAGAAAACTATATTAAATCACCTTCAAACATCAATGGTAAGTGACGTTTCTTACGTCCGGGTGTAGATGTGTCGGTCTCACTTGCAAAACTTGAAAAAACCGCGGCAACGAAAGCAGTCATTGATATCGCAATCACCATTACCGTTCTCATTGTCTGCTTGTCTTGTGGGAGGAAGAACCTTTTCACTACTGCTTGCAAAAATTTTATTATTCATATTGGCAATAGGTATCGGACCAATAAATTAGCACCTATTTTGCAAAAAGTTTATTTAATATTTAATTGACACAATATGTAGCAACATACATACGCGTGTATGCTATAGTGACATGTATTAAATTAGGCATATCTGAGTACACATGCATACAAGTAAATATTGCGTTTGCAGTGAAAGATCCTAGGTAAAATGTATGTCATTGCCTTAGCGGTTTAAATCAGTTAACATTGGTAACTATGCCGTTATGATATCATTACAACATAGTTACCAATGTTAACTGATTTTAACCGCTAAGGTTAAATATACACATTTTTACAGAGGTCTGTGGAATAGAATTTTTGGATTTTCAAACATTTATTAGTCATTCGATTCTGTAATTGTGGTTTTTATGTTAACATGCCTCTGTCATGAGCTGTTACTCTATGTATTGTAGACATAAAACATTTGCTCAAAATGCATTTTGTCTAGTTTTTACCATTTTAGGTCCTTGCTTCAAATACGATGTTTGAAACAATTCCTGTCTATAATGTCTCTAAAATCATACAAATACTTTACGTTGATTCAGGATATACATACTTATACTCTACAAAGTATGTATATCCTGAATCAAATCAGGAGTATTTCGGTGAGGTATAAATGGAAAGACAAAGTTAATATGCCTTCCATAGAATGGTGGAGTGTATATAAAATTCTCGTTATCTTAATCTCTGTTTTATTTTGTCTCGTACTATGAGAAAATAACGATTTCAAATGTTTCTTATAAGAGTTTCATGGTTATACAAAACTGACCCCTTTTGGTGTGGTATAAGGAGAGGTGATCAATACTTCAAGTTTTGCAACAGCTCAATGTTTGGTAAAATATTAGAAAAGGCTAGATTTTGTAATAACCACAAGAATACCGGCTGAAACTGCTTTAGGGATATTGCAGCAATTTGCATTACTAAATTCAGCCCTGAAAATTTTTGGCAAAATCTTAACATACCTGCTATTTGCATTCTGAACAAAAATCATGCGCTGACAATTTCCTGCCACGAAATTAAGGTCTATTCGACTGAAATTTTGGGTTGACAATCTTCTACCGGTACAAAAGCAAAATAAGCCGCGATATTATCGATCTTCATACTTGTCCTAGCAGCCGCAAAATAATACTTTGAGGCAAAATTCATTTCTTATAAGGCTAACATTTTAGTTTTCTGTTTTAGATTATATTCTTCCTTGACTTTTGTACCCCTAAAAGGCTTGATAATGACAGAATATTTGGTCGAAAAAAATTTAAATTTCATGCTCGCTATAGGCTCATATTTAAGGTAGAATTTCAAAAAATAAATTTGACTACTTATGTAGATCAAATAATTTTATACCCTTCAGACAAAAATGTTTTCGCATATGTAATGTTAAATTTTCTAATTTTGACATACACACGGAAATGGATAATAAAAGTGGCAGCACATATGTAAACCTCTCATCGTCTGATAGCAGCTTCTCTGTGCTGTTCTTGAGTAGTCTTCGAATGACGTTTTATTTTAAGTCAGTCTCTAAGAATCAAAACCCCAGAATAACCGACTAAAAATGTTGGCAAAATCTTTACAAAATCTCTTTTTTTAAATTTTAAATTCCGTCGTCCGGATGAGCTCCCTGGGGTTCGTTGATACGAGACCTGGATAAGTACTCGTGGACTTAGGATTGATGGGTTGGTAGTTGTTGGACTGAGGCATGGACAAATATTCTCCGGGTTTTCAAGGATTCTGGGAAGGATTAGAGCTACAGGCAAGGATGTGTTAGGACTCACACAAGGATGTGCAAAGATGTAAGGATTCGATCCCAGGATGCCCCGAATGGAATTGATGTTGGTTACACTTACCGCGTTGGATGTTGCTGCTTCCGTGGTCTGGCACTGACTGTCCCCATTCTAAGTTAGATCGCTCTTTTATATGGGAGTCCAAACACGTGTCTTGTGGTGGAATAACGGGACCTCATTTACTCCATTTGAATATCCCAACAACATAATCAGGGAACATTATAACAGGACGTCTCCCTCTCTCGTCCTTGCTCTCTGTAAAAAAAACCCCACAGAACAAAACGCGCTCTCCTGTTTTATACTTTATTTAAAAACACATCTTTGTAATTTCAAAAGTAATTTCAGAGTGTGGGCGTAAGTGAACTCCTTGTGATTTTCGTCGTCACACTTCCTCTCTTCCTCGGGGTGGGGTTCCACGATATCCTCTACTTTCGTGGTTGAACAACCACTTGTCCTTTGCATCCTATGAGGATACGGTATTTCAAGCCTTGGACCGTCACCACCCGCTTGTACTGCTCCCCAGGACGATGGTGCGCCAGTGCGGTTTTGAGGAATGGCTGTGGTCCTCGGCTCACATCCTTGGGAACTTCCTCCTCGCACACGAAGTAGATGGCGACCTCGTTCCTCGCTGGAATTACCACCACGTTCTTTCGTGCGGTAGTTCGGTTGGCTCCACAGCGGTTGTACCAGGGTTCTCCTCCAGGATGCTGTCCAGATACGCCATATCGCTGCTTGCACTCCCGACCACCGTGCTACTAGGCGAGGTTGTCAGAAGGATTTGCCCCGGAGTGATTGGTAGCCCATCCGGTTTCGTGGCGCCTGAAGTAGCACCCAACCATTCCCACTCAAAAAGTTTTAATGGGTTTATTCTTGGACCCTGGGCTTCGGTCGGTAACTCTTCGGGCGTTCGTCTAGCTGGTGTTGGCGGACCTCGGTTCATTGTTGTGGGTGGGGTATCTGACTTGTTACCCGACGACACACAAACGACGGAGATTCTAATGGCATCATTGTTCTTCTGCGGCCCGACTAATTCGGATACGCGCTTTTCTGGTGTCTTGGTGGTATTACCTGTTCCAGAGACCGCTTCGTCGTATAATGCTCTCGGCAATCTGGGCTCACGACATTGGACCAAACGTGCTGGGCTATATCCTGTCGATTCCGATATGGCGGTATTGATAGCCAAGGATATCTCGGGTAGGAAGTCATCCCACCGGTTGTGTTATTGTGGCTTACCTGGACAATCATGGTTTTGACAGTCCTATTGGCTCTCTCAGTAGGATTCTCTTGTGGGCAATATGGTACAGTGAATTGATGTTGCACCCCAATCTCCTGTAAATATTTCCCAAGGACCTTACCAGCGAATTGACTGCCGTTGTCCGAAATAATCACCATCGGTGTACCAAATCTGACGAGAATACTCTCTCGACACGCTTTCACTACTCATTCAGCGGTTGCTCTTCTCTGAGGTACCAATTCCACCCATATCGAGAACCGGTCGAAGAATACCGAGAGCATCATATTCCCATGCTTCGTTCTCGGAAGTGGGCGGAAATAATCCGTACAAACTGTTGTTGTTCTTCAGGGGCTGACACCAACATTTCCTCTGCCGGTGATACTTGGCACGACTGTCAGCGATATACAGGACTCGCAGCTTCTGACAAATTTCGCTATATCTCTCGCCAGTCCCGGCCAATAGTATCTGTTACAACGGTTGTCTGGCTATGATTTTCTCGTAGAACCCTTTCTCTTTGAGAACTTGGGACACACAGCTTCCACGGGGAATAATCTTCGTCATTAGTGTTTCCAGCAATGTGACGAAATAGCTGTTCATTCAATACTGCATAGTCCAAAAATTTCGCGGGG